TGTGATGCTAAAATTGGCACCATTTTTCAAAGCTTTCATTATAAGATTTCTGTTCATTATGTCTTAGTTTTTAACCATAGCTTGCACTCAAATTATGCTTACATATAGGTTCCCTGGAAGAATTACCTCTAATCTTTTCAGTTGGACTCTTTTAGAAGGAAGCATCTTTACCAGCAACTGTCAATAATACCTCTATTGTCTTGAGTGCTGTATGGTAGTATTAGCATGTTTGGCAATATTTAGAGATTAGTTAGCTGTGATATTCTGAATTTTGGTCTGTTTTAATAAAAAATGAAAAAGATTTTGTAGAGTCCAAAGTCTGTTGTATATTTTAATCTGTTTTAGTCAGGTCAGAATGTTTTAAAAGCTTGAATTAGGATGGAGAGAGAGGGCTATGATATGAATTAGAATTTTGGGTTCTATAAAATGCTTTGAAAATTTCATTCTCAGTGCTTGTAAATACAAATAAAAAGTTAAGAGAAGTTAGAATACAAATATTCAATGTGCAGAGATACTGAACTCACTAGTGTCACTGATGGTTAAACTAGAAGCTTTAATACTGGCTATCAATCAGAATTGTATATATTTTTTCATCAAACCTCGATTCCCTGTGCTAATTGTTCAAAGAAATTTTAATTCTTTTTATTAAATTAAATAATTTATTAGAATTTTATTAAAATAAATAATTTATTGGAATTAATAATTCTAATTAAGAGGATTAATAAAATTAATTAATTTTAATTTAAATTAATTCGATAATGAGAGATTCACAAATGCTTTGGGAGGCCTCTCCTTAAAAAGATAATATATGCCAGAAAAGTGATTTGTTGTCATCAAGCAGTGGTACAGTGGTCCAATTTAATATAACAAAAGTCCAGGCAGTTAATGAGGTATGTGCTTGGTTTACCCCATTTATTATCATAAAGAAGTGGAAAAGTTACACTGTGCTCTAATTAAAGGTGAAGCTGGTATCTTAATGCTTTCCATAAGAAGACCCCATTTGTCTCCTGCAATTTTCCAGAGTACTTCGGCTAGAATGCTCTGTGTTGGGTAGTTTCCTGAGAAGCATTTATTTATTCTTACTTGTTTTGAACTCCAGCTAGACTCTCCAGCTATTTCTGAGAGAGAGATTGATTTGCAACCATCTTATTGGGAAATATTCAGTGTCTATGCTTTAAGTGAAAAGCTTTTAATTTGCTTGCAGGCTTTCTTGTATGTGAGGCACATCCCCTTTTCTGTGTGTATGGAGTGATGAAAAATAGAAGTGCGGTTTCAGGGCACAGTTCGGAAGTGACATTTTGTACAGCTCAAGGCTGGAGGTGCAAATCAGTGGAGCAGAAAGCACTTACTTAGAAAAGACAGAGACATTAATGAAGCTAGAACTAATAAAGTCAGTGAAGGGAGGAGGTTGCACCTACAAAAACTATGTTACAAGTGTCACAGGTAGCAAGGAATCTTATAGACGTCGAAGTTGCACATTCGAAAGCGTTAGCACTAGCAAGACCTGTGCAGATCTGCATTGCCTTAAGTCTTGTTATATGATCATGTTTATGTGGGATCTCTAACCCATACGCTGATGAAAATAGTGAAAAGTGAAGTATAATTAGGCAAGAACGGAAATCTTACAGAGAGTGAGATAGCATCTTAAGTGGGTAGGTGTTGCAGAATGGTATCAGAGGGCATTCAAACACACGTCCTGCACGTCACATTTTTGTAAGGTTCTGAATGGTGCTATGAAATGTTGAGTACTCTGCGAAGTTAATTGCTCAAACTACTGATTGACACGTAAGTATTATTCATAGTCTATGCTGAACATACATTGTATGCTATATAATGTTAATGAGTTCAACTTCTAAGAGCAATCCCACAGCTTTTATTATTAAAGCAGAACTATTTAGTGCCAATTCCAATAACTAGAAGTGAAACCGCTTTTTCAGCAGTAGGATTTTGTTATCCTATTTCACAAATAAGTTATTTATTTCAATGTTATGGTCAGTCTTGAGACATTAGACGCGAATGCATAGATGCAAAAGCATACAGGTTGTCTCAGCGAGTGCTGCTCTGGTGAGACTAGGTTGATTTTGTGTGAATATTCCTGTTTAATTGGTTGGAAATTTATGCATATTTAGGTGCACAGATTTAAGTAAATCACAAGAAACTATCTGAAACTGTTAAACATCTCTGCAAAGCAGTGCAGATCTCATTTAAATAGGTCTGTACCTTACATTCAAGTATTCAAAAAGAGAACAGGAGCTGGTACATGGTAGCTAAGTGCTCTAGTAAGCTCTCTAGTAAGTAGCTCTCTAGTAAGTATATATGGCTAAGGTGTTCTCTAGTAAATGTTTGCTTGAGTTAGCGAAACATTGGTGAAACTTGTTACAAGGAGTTATTTAATGCCTGCAGTAAGTTGTAGTTGTATTAATACTAGGGATACGTCAAGGTTCATTAAAATGTCAGCTGCGCTTGTAGTTCTCTCAGATGTGAGGTGTGACCTGGTGCCATTCACTGCATTAACATGAGTAGTACAAACATGGAGATAACATTGTACAGAAAGAGAGCCAAAAATAACATTATTCTTTGTATTTCCTGAAGACAGTCTTTGTTGATGTGTAAGACTGGTGAAGTTAGAGGCAGCCCCCATTTGGAAAAGGAGCTGCTGATTCATGAAACCCTTAGACCGATGACACTTTCAAAGTGCTGTAGGTTAGAAGTGGTGCACTGATTATTGGGATTCTATCAGAGGAATGTGGCTTTTTGAAATAATAATCATACAAAGGTATTATTTTGTTCAACACCAACATTTTGCTTAAATAAAGAAAAGCAGAGGTTGTAATCTCTTCAGCAAGCAACTGTTTACATCAATTTTTACATCAATTTTCAGACTGAAACTTGATGCGTGCCCACTGATATTCAGCTGAGTCTGAAGATAATAAAGGTAGCAGAATCTGGCCCATATATGATAAGTATTTTCAAAAGAAAGTATTGGCAAAAATAATCCAAAACCTTGCATATAAAATATGTTGGTAATTAGGAATGCAATCAGTATAAAATTTTGATTCATTATGTTCTTGCAGCAAATGTGTTCATGAATTTAACAATGCAGCATTACAATAGCAGACAGTAACAGAGAAAGAGGTTTTAATTAGTTTTACTCTCATCAGTATTAAACTGGGCTGCTTTAATAAAATCTTATTAGTATTTATTACACCGCAGGGTCTTTTTCGAAGAGGAGCTGCATTTGAATTATACTGTTGAAAGTGTGCATGTGCAGAGACAAGTGGAAAAAAAGAAGTCTTTCTTCATTCTCCTTCCCACCTCTCCTCTGGTGGGGATTTAGTAGCTGCAGAAGTAAGACTGTTCCCACGCATAGTCATCGCTAGCAGAAGCAGGAAT